ATCCCAAATGGGAAGAGGTAAAATACAATACCATACAACTGAGGTCGTAAAAAATTCTCACAACACAAAAAAACGTCAAGTTCATCGTTTTCGGTCAGGACAAAACACAGATATGATTTGTTTGATTTGGTTGTCAGATAGTCCATGTCACAACCAGATATCACTCTAAAGACAGAAAGACCCAAAATATATCAGAACAAGTACACCTTGCAATTTACGAGAAACAATAAATAAAATAAACGTACGCGAAAACAAAAGCCACAAATATTCCATTCGCCGATGCGTCTATTCCAAGCATTTGCGGTTGCATTAACAAATCCGACGTATATGTCTTTGTTTCATCCACGTCCATGCTCTCATTATTTGTTGCACCGTCTTTTTCATGACTTTTTGAAATATTGTCTTCGGCCATAGTCTCTTCGCAATCTGTTCTATTGTTCCCAATGTTTTTAGATTTGCTGGTTTTGTTTGTACTTGTGCCAAGTCTAAAACTATCTTCTTCTTCTTCTTCTTCTTCCTCCTCTTCTTCCTCCTCCTCCTCTTCAGCAACGTCTGCGTCATCTTCATTCGTTATCCCATCAAAGTTACCGTCAAGCCCATCTATATTAAAGGGTAGTGGAGAACCAATTTCATCGTCGCCTTCATCATCTTCACTTTCATTCTCGGAATCCTTTTCGTCGGCCATCACCTTCCGAAACGCGTCTTTTAACTGATCTTCTACATTTTTCCTCAAGCGTTCCGTAGCGGCTTTATTAATCGATATGCCAGAATCTGAAATGTCGAGAATCCACTGCTTTCCTTCCAAGCTGAAGGCGCACAGTCGAGTGCCGTCATTATTCCAGCTTATGCCTAAAAGGTTTCCAGTCGAGCGATAAGTTATATTTAATTAACGGGGAAGAAACCATAGGAGGAGAATGAATTATAAATTTTACCGGCAATGAGCACAGTATCAGGGAAATCAAAAGTAATTGGCATGACAGATTCAAAGTTGTCATAAACAGGAAGCGCTGGCGCCCATATAAATAGCGTAGACATTTTGCTCATGGCGAGTTTATCGCGTTGATTACGCTGTGAATTGAAAGACAAAGGTTAATATATTATGTTTAGTCGTATGAATCAAATACATGATCTGCATACCTTATCTTTGAACCATTTTATTAAACAAGGCTCTCGTTTGTCTGCTTCAAGTAAGACAGTTCCTTTCTCTGCGTTAATTACAAGCTCATCTTCCTCCTGATCAGGTAGCTCTGATCTTCTATAACAAAGTGTTATTTTCCACAAAGAATAAGATCCATCGAGACATCCAACTATCAGCAGTGAGGTAACTAAACAGCCGAACAGAGTTATGGCAAGCCCGCTGGGACCTCATCATCACAACATTACTACAAACTTACAAGTATCCTCGTCAGTTGTCCACCAGCGCGACCATTCCAAAGTAATTATCCAGGACCGACACGCATCAATCTTGTAAACAAGATTAGCGTCAATAGTATAACTGTGTAATGTGCGTGAGAGATAAAACGAATATCGCCGGATGTTAGAGAAACGAGAGAATTTGAAATGTGATAATAATGTTTCCTATAACAACCTCCACAAAGTAATAATCCCAGCTTTGCTTCCCAACGCTATAATGGATAATGGCATAAATCCCTTACAGAAGCATTGAGGTGACCATGCCAGAGCTGTGTGTATAATCACAAGCGTTACGTTAGTATTAAGGATCAAAAGACATCTATTCCACAAAGAAGGAATACTTACATATGGACTCGAATGCCATTGAATTTTCAATCGTCGTTGGTAGATGACCAATCCCTTTGTAATAACTCACTAGACGATTTGAGATGCAAATAACCTGTGATATGATTAGACGTTTTTTTGTGTTGTGAGAATTTTTTACGACCTCAGTTGTATGGTATTGTATTTTACCTCTTCCCATTTGGGAT